AGCAAAAGGAAGACTTACTGAATATATATTGTCTTTCCATTTCTGTTAACTCAAGCATCCACACTGGAAAATTTGCATTTCCATGTGTTTGATGCAGAATGTTTCAGTGCCTCTGAGATAGATAAATGGCATGTCTGATGTTCTCTTCAATTATTCTTGATGATCTCTTTAGATCATCCCAGTTAACTATTGGTAAGTGTGATTTGTTATTTACTAGTGAAAACTTTGCAAAGTAATTCAGCCTTATCAATACTCAAGAAAGCTTGGTGCGCCAATGTTTTTGCTTTTTAATTTTTGTCTCAGGACTGGGCCATTAAGCCTCCCAATTCAGATGCAACTGGCTTGGAACTGCTGTTTCTGAAAGGTGAAGGAGAAGCACAGGTGGCAGAGATGCACATTGTACATCTATAGACACGTTTGTACATTCACTAGTGTTGTTTAACAAGACAAGGATTTAAATTCCTAGTGGAAATGATGTATATTGTGTGTAATACAACCTTAATTTTTAGCTGTTGTTGTGTAGCTCTGTTTTAGATGTTCTTTACACTGTAGGAATCAAGATTCCTCAGAATAAGAAATTAATGGAAGCTATAGGAGCACAAATTCAGGTTTAATATGCTTCATTTTGAGTTGTATCATTTCTTGTACCAATGTTAATCAAAAACAAAAAACCACAGACACCCCCTGCCCTCTAATTTATTTGAAAAGGTCTGTTGTACAAAAGTTAATTTAAAGGTCTGCCCTGCATACTGGCTAGTACTAACACCTATAAAGAAAGGTAGAAATAGAAGCAATGGTACTACTTGGGACATGCTAGTTCCATTCTCCTTGCCATTTAAGATCTGTTCTTAATTTTTTGAAGTGGTTCCTCATTCTTCAATCTTTAGAGATGTTTTAATCAGTCCAGCATCACATTCACTAAATATGGGCTTTCAACCTATTTTCAGAATGTGTTTGTTACTCTGAGATGTAGGAAATCAGCATTAATACACTGCAACTGATACTCGGGAATATTAAACAACCTTGGTATGTCAAACTGTTGCTTAGACTGTTCAAATGTGTAACTTTGAGCAGATAAGGTGTCAGAATTAGAAGTTAACCCACAATGTTGATGAAGCATCTTGCATCTGGGGTGAACTCCATCCTGTTACTGTTCTTCACCATGATACAAGAAGAAAACATAGTGGTTAAAGACTCCAAGTTACCTGAGATGTGGCATGTATTTAAACTGTTGCCCTATGAACAGCTTTACAGATTCTTTAACTTATTCATGTTCTTGTCTATCTGGTCAAACAACGACTCTTCTGCACAGAGAGAATGCATAAAAAATAGGCTTCAGCAGTCTAGCTAATGGGAATGGTATATGCATGTCAAACTAGATCACAGAAAACACTGCTTGTTACTCAGGGCCTCATGCAGATGAGTAACACTGAGGGTCAAGCTTTGCAGGAGAAATTGCCAGGCAAACACAAGTATGGAGGCTGTTTGTCTGTAAAAGATCAATAACCTGCAGCAATGACTAGTGCAAGCAGACTATAAAGCACTTTTTCAAACAGCTTTTTTTTTTTTTTGTTGAAACAGTTGTTAAGTCCATCTGCTGACTATTGATTGGCTATTTAGGGGAGTTATTTATTCATTTATTTATAAACTCTGGGTTGTAATATCCACCTGGTTTAAAAACAAGTTTTCCGTTTGATTGGTAAAAAGAAAAGGCAGCCCATGTTTGTCTGTCCTCTTGTGTTTGTATCTTCACATGCTTCCAGCCTGCATGTTTTTCAAAGAGCCTGTTGATAAGCAGAGCAATCCCCTAACCTTCCAACATGATTGTTTGGTTAAGTGGTGCTTGTTTTTTGTCTGAAGGAGAGGTAATACACAGGGCTGTTGTTCCTTCTGTGCAAAAAGTTGTATTTTTCTTTCAAGATACCTTTCCATGCAATGCATAACCTATATGCTTCTACTGTCTTTCTGTGAATCACATTTGGAGGAGGGAAGGATTAGAGGGAAAGGGAGTCATGGTGAGACTTTACTCTTTCATTCATTAATTTAGCACTGTCACAGGAAGAGCTTTTGATAACTTCAGTTCTGTAATCATAGTGAGTGAGGCTTACTCACTAGCCAAAATATTTTCTTTTTTTTTTTTTCCCCCCCCTTGACTTAAAAAGAAGGATATTCCCCCCCCCCCTTGACTTAAAAAGAAGGATATAAAAATTAGCAGAACAAGTCTAAGACCAATACTTTAAAGCACAGAGCATTTTGGATTGAATGAGGAAGACTGAAGC